TTTTGCTTTGTCTTTGAGAGCAAATAGAATAAATCTGAGTTTGATCGCATCTTCTGTTAATTCTCTCATTTTAATCATAATACACACTTCCTCAAATTCCGAGATAAAAATATATGCATCTTCTGTTTCATTTCCAAGGAATTTGGGAAGCATGTTTATGTAATGCGGTCTAAGCTCAAAATTTATTCTATTTGTTTCGGGGAGCCTAATGTAAGAGGGAATTGCATTCCTAATGGGATAGCACATATCATGAAGAACGGGTGGATTAGGATGCTCCATTTCTATGATTGGTTCAAAGCAAATTAAACGATGTGTATTATCTCTAATCCACTATTGCATACACCAAAACTATTTCTTTTTGTTATTTTTTTATAAAAAAATTGTTTTTTTAATGAGAAGAAAAGGATAAAGAAAAATCCTAACTACAGCAAATCAAAACAATTACTTTTCAATCACTCTAATTCTAGGGTTTAGCCTAACTCACTAGACCAGCTCCTAACCAAAAACTCCTACAGTGAAAAGATTAAAGTTTTACCCAGATAGTTAGCCAGGTAAGGATAGTACTAGAGGGTGATCAGAGATCAATTAAGTACCTCGTTCCTTGTGTAGCGCTTTACGCAACCCCTAAATCTTGCCTTAGACACCAACTATTCTGAGAAAACTTAAACCGGTTCACTTAAGGATTTCTTGTTCCTTATTGAGCTCGGGTCCTTAGGGGCTAACGTTTAATGAGTTTTATTAGGCTTGGGTAGTGTAGTGAGGAATTAGTGATTTTTGGGCTAAGGAAAGGGTGATAAAATCCCTCACCTTATCTTGATTATAGGGTTTTGCCTTTAAAAATATTTTTAAGTGTGTGCCAAATCAAGATGCTCAAATCACTTGGTGAATTTCTACTAATAATATGAAATGCAACCCTATGAATTAAAAGCAACTAAAAAGGATGGAAAAGAAAAAAAAAAATCTTTTTTTTTAAATTAGGGTTAACAATCAAACAAATGAGAAGGGGGAAATTATTTGAATTTATTATCTTGTTAGTAAATGTCAAAGTGAAAGATGGATTTTATTATGGTCAACAAAAATAAAAAATATTTTTTTTAAAATCCTAATTGTCTCTAATTGTGAAGCTAACTAAAAGGAATAGAATTGAAAACGCTAGAAAGAAGACTTATCCGAAAACAAATCTTCAAATCCTAGTTCTCCAATCCACGATCTTCAAGCTCCAAGCGTTTCCTTCACAATAAACACATAAGTTAAAGAACCAAAATAATTAAAACCTACTTAAGCACCTTCCCCAGCAACAACGTCAAAAACTTGATGTGGCATAATTATATACCAAAATTGCAAGTGTACAATTGATCAAGCTATAGTATAAAGAGTTATCGATCCCACGAGGAAGGTGTTTTGTAGGAGAAAATATAAAATCGGTTCTTATGTTGTGTGCGTGACAAATAGGAGTGATGAGTGAATGTGATTGTGGAGAGAATGATTATGATTGTGTAAATGAATATATTTGAGAGTGGAAGTGAGTAAAAAAATAAATGTGATCAACAAGGCAAGAAGGAAGAATGAATAAAATCGAGAAACAAATAAAAAAATCAAGATGTAAAGATAGCGGATTCAATTAAAGATATGCGTAATCTAGAATCGAATCATCTTCTTAGAAAAAGGTAATTCCCTAGAGGTTCTAGCCTAAAGGCGAATCAAAGAAAATAAAAATAAACAAAAAGAAAAACTAAACCCAAGAGGGTTCTAGCCTCAAGGTGAATAGTACAAGAAATTAAAATCTAACTACAAAATAAATTACAAAATCTAAACTACAAAATAAATTACAAAAATGTAAGAAAATAAAAATAAATCTACTCTATAAGTATGAAATAAATCTAAGGCAAGAGGGTTCTAGCCTCTTGGCTATTTAAACAAGAAAATAAAATCTAATAACAAGCATGAAAATAAATCTAACTAATAAGCAATAAAAGAGAAATAAAAGAGAAAAATGAAAGAAATGCAAACCTCTAAATAATTCTTCATCTCCATCTTCATCATCCAATAAAAAGAAGAAATATTTAAAGTGATGAAAAAATTATTATTATTAATTGTAACAAAAAGTTACAAATTTAGAAGGCCTTCTCAATTAAGAGTAGCCCTCCTCTCCAAAAGGAGTTACAAAAATTTTCGCACCTCTAACCCCTCACTCTCTACCCCTATTTATAGTAAACATCAGTGAATGAGAGCCATTGGATTAAAATCTTATCCAAAAACATCAAAAATCAGCCTTAGATTCGTAACTAACTGCCCAGGGTATCGATGCCTGCATCGATGCAGGCATCGATGCCTGCCCTTCTCCTGTGTGCTGTCCGCAGATCCTCTTGTATTTGGCTTTTGGGTTTGGGTCTTTGGCTTTAGCTTGGACTTTTGGGCTTTGACATTTGAGCTTTGGCATTTTCTCTTGATTTTTCCACTGGGCTTTGCTTTATTTCTTCATTAAATATTTGAAAGAATTCCTTTGGCTTCACGGGCTTCATTTCTTCGTTAAAACAATGAATTTTTGTTGAGAGATAGAAGTTTGAGTTATTCTTCATTAACCTGCAATTAAAGATAAAAACAATTATTAGTGATATATTTATTTATATAAAATAGATAATGAGGGTATAAAATTGTAATAAAATATGATTATCAAACATTGCTCGCTAAGCCTCTTTTGACTTTTATACCTTGCGAATCCTTTTTTTGTATCGAAGACACTTGCAAAGCTTTTCTCTAGGCATTATTTTTGCCTTTTTTTATTGATTGTTAGTATGATCGATTTGTTTAAATTTGTTGATATGACCGAGTTATCGTAAGGGACAAGTTGTTCAACTCTTTTTGTTTAGACATGTAAACCTAATCTTAAGCAAATCAAACTATATTTGATTTAATCATCAATAAAACTAAGATCTTAGAACAATATAATTTTCACAATGAACAATTTAATTAAGTGATCATACCTTGATCCATGATTCGAATTTTGACGAAAATTGACTGCAAAGGGAACAACGTTCAAGACTTTGATTTCTCTCTCTTTACCCTCTTATTCTTTTTCGAAATTTTCTTAATGGAGAGAAAAATTTTGCATGCATAGGTAGAGAGAGGACCAAGTCTTTAAATAGAGAATTACACACCTTCTATCAATATGAGTAGTTAATTTATTAACCAATAGGAATTAACTAATGAGTAGTTGATTTAACTAATGATAAAAAAACATGACTACTAAAAAAACGTGGGCAGTTTCATAACTAAAATTAGTGGGAAAAAAGAAAACGTGACCACGAAGAACATGGGCCACTAAAAAAAATCTAACATTCTCCCACTTGGCCCATGTTTCATAATTTAAAAACATGATTTTATAATACAACATAATATGCATAGTATAAGCTAATTCCATTATTATATTGATCAAACCATCAATCATCATTAAGTAGAATACTAATAATGATCTTGGCGGTCGTACGCAGCTAAATCGACATAGTCCCTTCCATGTATCACAATATTAGTTTTAAACTAAACATGACATGTAATAAGACTTATCATAATGGTCCAACAATAATGTTCTTGTCAGAGACATATCTTGTTAATATTCACATAATCATTTATGTATATACTAACAATAATAAACATGATGCATTAAAATATCTAAAACAATATTTAGATGAGCTCAAAGTGTCAAATATATAAAGAGCATGAACTTTACATAAAAGTTAGTAATGGTCTTCAATAATGCCCATTCTTTCAACATGTTCACCAAATGTCTTTGGAGGCAATCCTTTTGTTAACGGATCCGCAACCATGAGATTTGTGCTAATATGCTCAATTGACACTCTTTGTTTCTGAACTTCTTCTTTAACGGCAAAGTATTTTAATTCCATATGTTTAGCACCCTTCGAATACTTGTCGTTTTTTAGAAAAGAAGACAGCTGCAGCATTATCGCAATAAATTTTCAGCGACTTGGCAATACTGTCAACAACTCCAAGTCCTGAAATAAAATTCTGCAGCCATAATCCATGAACAGTGGCCTCAAAGCATGCCACGAACTCAGCCTCCATAGTCGATGCAGCAACCATAATCCATGAACAGTGGCCTCAAAGCATGCCACGAACTCAGCCTCCATAGTCGATGCAGCAATGACGGACTGCTTCGCACTTTTCCATGAGATCGCTCCTCCAGCTAAAAGAAATAGATAGCCAAATGTGGATTTTCTAGTATCCAAACACCCAGCAAAATCTGAATCTGAATATCCAATCACCTCAAGGTGATCAGATCTCCTATAAGTGAGCATATGATCCTTTGTTCCTTGCAAGTATCTCAATACCTTCTTTGCAACTTTCCAATAATCCAATCCTGGATTACTTTGATATCTACCCAGCATTCCGACAGTAAAATTAATGTCAGGTATTGTACAAACCTGAGCATACATCAAGCTCCCAACGATGGATGCATAAGGAATTTGATCCATTTGTTTGTGTTCCAATTCATTCTTTGAACATTACATAAGACTGAATTTATCCCCTTTCTGAATTAGAACTACAGATACAGAGCATTTATCCATCTTGAACCTCTCTAGAACTTTATTAATATATGATTTTTAAGACAACCCTAACAATCCTTGTGATCTGTCACAGAATATTTTAATTCCAATCACATAGGATGCCTCATCCATATCTTTCATTTTGAAGTTCTTAGAGAGAAATTTTTTAGTCTCGTGTAACAAGCTAAGATCATTAGTAGCAAGCAAGATATCATCAACATACAGAATCAGAAATATAATTTGCTCCCACTGATCTTTAGATATATACATCGATCAACGATGTTTTCTTTAAATACAAAAGATGTGATGGTATCATTAAACTTAAGATACCATTGTCGGGAAGCTTCTTTGAGTCTGTATATTGACCTTTTAAGCTTACACACCATGTGTTCCTTTCCTTCAACTGAAAAACCCTCGGGTTGGTCCATGTAAACTTCTTCATCTAAATTTCCATTTAGAAAAGCGGTTCACATCCATTTGATGTAGCTCTAAGTCATAATGAGCCACCATAGCCATAACAATTCTAAATAAATCCTTTTTCGAAACAGAAGCAAATGTTTCTTTATAGTCAATATCATCCTTCTGAGTAAAACCTTTGGCAACAAGTCTAGCATTGTATCATTCGATATTGCCATTTGAGTCGTGTTTGGTCTTAAAGACCCATTTACACCCAACTCTTTTACAACCTTTAGGCAATTCTACAAGGTCCCAAACTTTATTATGCTCTATTGATTTCAACTCATCTTTCATGGCATCAAACCATTTATCAGAATTGTGACTTTTCATGGCCTGTGAAAATGAAACCGGATCTTCATCAATTCCAAAGTCATGTTCTGACTCTTGTAGATAAACCACATAATCATCAGAAATAGCAGTTTTTTTATCTTTGAGACCTTCTTAATGCTACTTCTTCATGGGGTATATCTATTGCAGATTCATTGGTAACAACGTCTTCTTGAGTGTTTGATCATTTATTTGTTGTTCCTGAAAGTCGTTAAACTGTTCAACAACTGTAGGAACAACAACTTGAGAAGAAGTTAAAGGTAAAGGAACGTTCATTCTAACTTCTTGAATTTCCACTTTACGTGGTTCCATACTCCCACTAATATCACCATTTTTAATGAACCTGGCGTTTCCAGTTTCAACAATTTTCGTGCTATGGCTAGAATAATAAAATCTATATCCTTTAGATTTTTCTGGATAACCAATGAAGAAACCACTTGTTGTTCTAGAGTCCAATTTCTTTTCATATGGATTATAAATTCGTATTTTCGTAGGAAAACCCTAAATATGAAGGTGTCTCAAGCTGGGTTTCCTTCCCGTCCATAGTTCGAAAGGAGTCTTTGGAACTGCCTTATTAGGAACCATGTTTAATAAATACATTGGGATTTTTAAAGCATACATCCACAATGATAAGGGTAAAGAAGAATAACTCAATATACTCCTAACCATGTCCATTAGTGTACGATTACGCCTTTCTGCAACACCATTTTGTTACGGTGTACCTGGCATAGTGTACTAAGCGCATATGCCACGTTTTTCAAGAAATTTAGCAAATGGACTAGGACATTGTCCCATTTTGTTATATTTTCCATAAAATTCACCACCTCTATCAAATCTTACAATTTTCACCCTTTTGTCTAATTGTCTTTCAACCTCATTAATAAATACCTCTAGGGCATCTACTGATTGAGATTTTTCATGTAACAAATAGACGTAGCCATAACATGAAAAATCATTAATAAATGTGATAAAATATTTTTCTTTATTTAAGGATGGAACATTAAAAGGTCCACATATATCGGTGTGTATAATTTCAAGGAGTTGAGTGCTTCTTGTGGCAGCTTTCTTAATTGTATGATTTGTATGTTTTCCTTTAATACAATCTATACAAATACCAAGATCGGTAAAATCCAAATTCGGAAGGATTTCATTCTTTACCAATCTTTGTATTCTTTTTTTGGAAATATGTCCCAAATGTTTATGCCACAAATAAGATGAACTTTCATCCACTAAACTTCGTTTAGTTCCAATATTATGATGCAAGGTTAACAAAGTTTTAGCAAAAAGATTATCAAGCTTTAATTTGTATAAACCATCAGAGAGAACACTAGAACCAAAAAGATGACTCTGCTTAAACAAACTGAAACAACCATTTCCAAATTTAAAAGAGTATCCAGCGACATCAAGTTTAGACAAAGAAACTAAGTTGCAAGAAACAATAGGAACATAAAGGGTTTGAAAAAGATCTAAATGATGTCCAGTGTCCAAAAACAAGCGGTAGGTCCCAATGGCCTCAACTGGAGCTTTGACTCGATTTCCCATGAAGATGAAATTTTCATTTGGATTTATTGTTTGGGTCATAAGGAATCCCTGCATCGTATTTAAAACATGAGTGGTAGAGCCAGAATCAATCCACCAAGTATTATAAGGAACTTATGTTAGATTTGATTCGAAACATACAAAAGCAAGAGGTTTACCTTTCTTTTCGAATCATGCCTTACATTTTAGGCAATCTTTCTGATAGTGTCCAGGCTTCTTGCAGAAATGACACTTATCGTTCTTTCGTTCCCTTTTGTAGATTTGAACAGGCGATATATTATCTTTCAGTGCTCTTTTCTTGCCCTTTCCATTATACTTTCCTAGTTTCTTTCCAGCTCCTTGATGACCCATGAGATTAATTGAGTGAGTTCCTTGTTTCTTAAGCCTTGTTTCTTAAGCCTTGCTTCCTCTTGAATGCGCATACTTTGCAATTCAGTCACATTCCACTTATCTTTTATAGTATTGTAGTTTATTTAGAATGGACCATACTCAGAAGGTAAGGAGTTTATGATAAACTGCACAAGGAAACTTTCACTCACTTCCATTCCCATAGATCTCAAATTTTGCTACTGTGTTTGTCATTTCAGTGACATGCTCATGCATGGTATGAGAACCATCGAATTTTATAGTGGTCAGCGTACCCATTAATGTCCCTGCAATTGACCTATCAGCAGAGTCAGATTGCGAGAGATCTTCCACAAATTTCATAAATTCCTTTGCTTTATCAGTCTTAGGAATTATGGACTTAATGTTGTTTGCTATCGTCATCCGCATGAACATTAAGCTAAGTCTATTTTATTTTTCCCAAGCAATATGAAAAAACCTTTCATCGTCATTGTTAGAATTAGTAATAGCAGCAGGCTTGTCATATAGGAGTGTTGAATAAAGATCCAGAACACCTAGGTGAAACTGAACTTGTTCACTCCATTCATGAAAATTAAGCCCATTGAACTTTTGCAATAGACGAGGCTTGCGAATGGAGAGAAATAGGTGCTGCAAATATATAGAATAATGCTTTGAGTCATAAATTTAAACTTAAACACATAATACATATTTAAATAGCAGTCAAATTAATAATAAACGTACATCGAAGTTTTCCTTTGGGTGACCCATCAATGTACAACAATAAACATAATTGATGCTCAGTTTTATTTCATATAGTTGACAATTATATATACACCAATTAGATATGCTTACTATCTTTGGATATTCTAAACATATCTAATCAAATATATTTTAATTAACCACAGTCATGTTTACAGATTATAAAATTTATCAATCAACCTTTGGGTGATTCTTAAATATTTTATAATCAATAAACCTCAAATTACTCATGACAACATATATATGATTATGTCATTTCATTAGTAGCATCACTTAATCATGAGTAATTGAAAATTATATATTACAGTTTGATAAGCATGAAACTTCAAGGTATGGTCACTTTGGTGACTAACAAACCATCCATGAGTTAACTAAATTTCAATGTAACAATAAGCTCACAAATTAACAATTCATAAAGATTAACAATATCCATGTATAATTAGTGCATCGGTATAAACAGTCATCGGCACAATAGTGCACAGAAACATCATGTAGGTAAAATAGATAAATAAGCAACAACAATAGGCGGGCACAAAATTAAATTAGGCAGCCAATAAAAAATTTATTAAAACATCATTAGAAATCAATCAAAGACCCCAAGAGGCCCAAGGCCCATCAAAGACTATTAATATTTTGTGTAGCCCTAGGGGTTTGAACACAAAACCTCCAGGCCAAATCCTCAAACCTTACCATTAGGCTATTTACACTAAAGAATTTAGTATAATCAAAATATGTATACATATTAAATGAACAGTTAGATCCGAATTTTATAGTTTCGAATTTTGCAGTGATTGTTCAGTCAATTTAACATGAAATTATCAAAACATTTATTCAATAATCAGCGGAAAAATTTTAATTAGAGAGTTTTAAATATTTAATTAACAGTAATTGAATTATTTGATAAGAAACAAGAATCATGATGGAAAATCATAAGTTCTTTAATCAAGACTCTGATACCACATGTAAACCTAATCTTAGAACAATATGATTTTCACAATGAACAATTTAATTAAGTGATTATACCTTGATCCATGATTCGAATTTTGACAAAAATTGACTGCAAAGGGAGCAACGTTCAAGACTTTGATTTCTCTCTCTTTACCCTCTTATTCTTTTCCGAATTTTTCTTAATGGAGAGAAAAATTTCGCATGCATAGGTAGAGAGAGGACCAAGTCTTTAAATAGAGAATTACCCACCTTCCATCAATGTGAGTAGTTAATTTATTGACCAATAGGAAATAACTAATGAGTAGTTGATTTAACTAATGATAAAAAACACGACTACTAAAAAAACGTGGGTAGTTTCATAACTAAAATTAGTGGGAAAAAAGAAAACGTGACCACTAAGAACATGAGCCACTAAAAAAATCTAACAAGACAAACTATCATCAACTATTGATATGACAGATATGCTATGATGAAAAAGTTATTCAACTATTTTATGGACAAACTTTGCTTCATTAATCACTACGCTTCTGCTTCTGAGGGAGTTCATTGGAAGATCTCGTACTATTTGTTAACTTTAATAAAGATGTCTAGATTCAATGTATTAGTCTATTATAGTATCTCTCTATTTAGGACTTTCTTTTATTACATGTTTCCATTTCATATTAGAGTTCTTTTTCTATGAGGATTCTACAACGTGTATAAATATGGGGCATTAGCCTTTTCTTCATAATCAATGAGAATGTAACTTTTCTTCTTTCTTCCTTTATTTTGACGAAAAATATTCTAACCCTAATACTAACACCACTAGTGTTATGGCCTCTATTATCGTCCACGATGCTAGCTTGGACTGTCACCCCACTTTGCTAACAAGCACCCCCACCTTATTGCCAATGATTCCTCTATAATTAAATTTTTATAATTAGAATTAAATGTAATTTAAAATTAATTAGACTTAATAATTTAATGATTGGTGTGTTAATTTTAAAAAAGAAATTTTTTTTTCAGTTTATCTAACAACATTATGGGTGTTAAGTGAACAAAATAAAAATGTTTTGAGGGTTTTATGGAGTTCTCAATCTTATTAGGGATTAAGTGACAGTTTCAAACCGTATGAGGATTAAGTGCAAAACACCCAGATTCATTGACGGTTTAGTGAAATTTACCCTAAAGAAAATATCAAATAGGTATATCAATGTTTAAAAAATCATTCAACATATTGAACTTGCTTAAAAAAATATAAACAAACAAACAAACAAATAAATAAATAAATCAAAACATGTCGAATCGATTACATTTTTAGCTTGAAATTCGCTGTGTTGAGACATGGAGTTGTTTTTGTTTTTGAAGCAAAAAACAGGGGATTGAATCCTGTTAATTTTATTCATCTAACGAAAGATAATTACTAAAAACTTGGATACGAGATAGTATCCAAAAAGTTTTCATTGAACTAATAATTTTCAAATCTCAGATATATAAAACTTTCTCCCTGCGAGCATCCATGAGAGAGGCCCCGACCATCATTCAGCCAGCCTCATACATAAAACAAGGAAACCGCTAGGTCACAAAGAAAATTAGGTAGCGAAAAACAGAAAAAATTGTCCTAAAACATCATAGCCTGATTATTGACATCATAGCCTAATGAGTCTGCATTCGTATTTTAATTTCTCCTTGTGTAGTTTGTGCACCTCCGTTGGATTTAAATCTAATTAAATTTATTTGTGGGCACATATGATTAATCTGTGTGTATTGCTATCCTTCAGGATAACTCACTAAAGTGATCAATTAAATTAGGTTAATGAGTATTTAAATAAATTATAGGATTATATGTGCAGATACCAAGTTGTAATTATAATTTGATGAGGGACCAAATTACAAATGTACAACACCTATATATATGGGGTTATGGTCCCTAATCTAGGATTAGCCACTCTCATTCTCTTATCCCCATCTAAAGAGATCCATAAGGGAGAAACCCTAAGGTTAGAAGATCATCAAAACCCTAATCAGGTTTTACTCAATGGATTCAGGTATATGCTTCCACACCTTTTGATTCTTGTTAATCTCTTTGAATTAATCATGGCTTTAAGATTTAGATCTTAAATATTCAGATCTAACAAGTGGTATTAGAGCCACCGTGATTTGTTCTAAGAGATTAAGATTAAAATTAGGGTTCTTTGATCTTAATTTGTGTTTTTTAAGAACTGATCACGGATGAACAGTAACATTTTTTATTTGTTACTGTTCGGATGAACAGTAAAAATTCCTATGAATAGTAAAGTTTTTTAAATTTTTGTTGGTTTTTCCTTCGATTTTTTTTGGGATCTGGATCAAGAAGTTATCTTTCGATTCTGGATCTGGTTTTGAAATAAAATCGAGGAATTTTTGGATCTATTTTGTTTGGTCGTCGGTCCCGTGCTCCTCGCCGGTGAAGTATCGCTGGCGGCCTTGCTTTCAACTCCGATGGCGACGGTGGTGTCAGGAAACCCTAGGGTTTAGACATTGGGTGCAGGAGCAATGGCGGCGGCGATTTCAGAATGAAACTCTAAGGGTTCGTGCGTGAAAACATGCGGGAATTAAGGAGGTGGTTACCTTAATTTTTGGTGTCACGCCCCGCTTCCCAAAATACACGGGAACCGGAACGTGAACAAGCCCGCGACGTATTAGATTGAGAAGAAATATACTCTACTTTTTGTTTCTCTTTTCTTTTCTTCTCAATCCAATACGCTAAGCGTCTGGAAATAAAAACAATGCAAAGGCACAGGTCCCCGATCACACATAGCAAGAATATAATAGACAAACTCAGAATAAAAATACATATCACAAATGGGATAACATCCGAGACATAATAATTGGGTCAACATACCCTGATACAAATCTGAACAAATGAATACTAAAGAGATACAAAATACACTGATCAAATAGAAATGGAATGTAGTACAAAAGAAAACTGAGGACCAATAACTAAACTTTGGTTTCTTCTTCTGCTCCATCCGCTAGGCACTCCTGCTGAGAATCCTCTGGTTCCTGATAATTTCCCAGCTGAACCTGTTCTTCCTCTAAGTCTGACGTACACCAGAGAAAACAGGTGTACGTCAGGTGCATGACGCACGGCAAGACCCGACCCCACAAAGAAAATAGAACAACGAAAACCAAATGCGAAAAACGATACGATAACAAAAACAACAAAAGAACGTACAACTGAAATCCATAAATCAACATGAAAACACTACTAAATCATGATAACATAAAGCATCCAAAATCGATCAGGTAACGAATCATGCAGCTAGCGATCAGTCTAATCATCCAAATCATAAGGGCATACACTAGATGGAATTAATACTTAAAAATCTACAACAAGAGACGTAGTACGTCGAGCGAAATAATCCAAACAAGGAAACCCTCAAGTATATACCATATGTCTCGAATTGTAAATAATTAAATATTAACCCCGATCTATGTATGAAAAGAACAACATTGATCTACATCTCAACAAAACTAACAAGGTCCACCATAAAGCACGCAAGGATATTATTCTTGTTTTACATGTTATTTGAATTGGGGAAGAATATTTTGATGTATATAATCGGGTCCCCGTAAAGTCGTCCGGGGGCCGCCTTCAAGTCAAGTATTGGCCCTCTGGCCCATGTATAGTCGAGCGAGTATAGCCATGCTTTGAAGCACGCTTATAAATCATACTTTTAACAGAAGTCGTCTTC